GCGTGTGTGTGCATGGTTGTTTTTATTATTTTAGGATTATGCATTTAAATGGCTGCCCATATAAATAAATAAATAAAAATTCACAGTTGCACATCACGAGCTAAGAAACAACTCCTGAATAGTTGCAAAATGTTGACTTGGTATAAGTCAGTTTCTCTAAAGGCTTGTTTTAGGAAGAGCCTTGTCCATTTTCATCATATTCATTCTATTTCTCCCGATTCTAGATTTTATGACTCTTGTGATTCCGTGCCAGCCTGTGCTCCCAACAGCTGAGTCTGAGGAATCTGAGGAGGAGGTGGAGGAGGCATTTGAAGGGCCATCAGGGGCAGAGGGAGGCTCTGATGAATTACAGGACTCACGGTTTGATGCAGAGCCTGGGCCCTCCAGTCATGTTCCTGATGAAGCTCAGCTGTGTGAGCAGAATGAGTCAGACTCGGAGGACTCACACCTGATGGACTTGCTAATTGATGCTCGCACACGTCGTCAATTAGCGAGAGTAAATCAGCAGCAGTCAATATGGCAACTCCAGAGTAAAAGGAGAAGGCAATGAGAGGCAATGCCTTGGGACTGCTGTATAAAAAGAGGAGGTGTGGGCAGTGCTGGTTGCTGAAGGCAACCATTTGCAAAGTGCTTCTTGGAATCCTGGTCTGTTCGTCTTGCTTGTGACTACTCTTCTGTTTGCATCGTGTTTCCTGTGGACTATTTTCTTCATTTGGACTTGAGTTTTGCTATTTGTGTTTTGGACTATTTGACAGGTTTGTCACCCATATTAAAAGGGTTTGTTTTGTTTTAAAGTCTCCAGCCTATTTTATCAAAAGGGGTTTGGTCCTTGTGCCTTTAACAAGGACGGCAATAGGCTGGGATAGAACAATGACCATGTAGAGGGGAAAGTAAGGAAACTGAGCAAAGAGATGGAATGGGGAAAATGCAATAGTAGAAATTCTACTATTTCATAATGGTAACTAAATTCCTTTATTAATTTGTTCTTTCATCACAGAAAACCAGAATATTAATTACTGAAGTAGGTCCACACTCACCAAAAGTATGAATTGCATTTCTTATTGTAAGGCTGTGCTTCTCAACCTCTCCATGCAGAATTCTGGGAGTTGAAGTTCAATATCTTAAAGTTACAGAGGTTGAGAAACACTGCTGTGGAGAGAGTGCTATATATCTTATTACTTTATACATGGATTAATTGAGAGTAAACTACTATCAGTTCAAAATGTACATACAAAAGTACATTGCACATTGTACTTTTCTAGATTTTTATTCAAATATTTTTAAGGAAAATCCATTTGTATTTTTATGTTGTTAATACCCATCTGATCTATTATTTCCTCAAAGTTTTCATTTGTTTACTCCATATGAAAAGACCATGTTTTCACCATTGGTTCTTTACTTAGAGGTTTTGCTTATGGAATTTTATTGTTGAAAAAAAAGATATAGTCTGAAAGAGTTAAAAATTAGTATGTAGAATCACCTGATTGAATTTAGGGAGCCAATCTGAAACATGATAGGGCTCATTCTGGTCTAGGCTTTTCCAAAAGTAGACCCATCTGATTCATATCCTGCATCCAAAGGAAGATTTAAACAAACCACACTTTTTGTTTGAGGATAATATGATGAAATTTGCAGAAAAATTGATAACAAACATTTTATATTTCAGACACATTAAAGGTTAATCACCAAAAAATTTACAGCAAAGAATGATACAACTAAGTATTCCCTTGCATATAATTTGGCTCTGGGTCAGGTAGAACTCTCTGCTAGTTCAAAATGTGTAATCTCTGATAAAAGAGGACTTTTTCTCACATCTGATGTTTTTTTAATCCTCTAAGGCAGGGGTGTCAAACTGCCAGCCCATGGGCCAGTTGCATCATGCAGAGGTTGCGCCCACCCCAGTTCCAGCAATGTGAAAAAAGTCATACATTGCGACACGTCACGTGACATGGCGAGTTTGACACCCGTGCTCTGAAGTATTACAAATTAGTTTGAACTAGTCAAACAACTTCATATTTATATATTCATTGTCTTTGTATACCACCATAATCAAGATTTACTCTCACAGTTTATAAGGTAAATAAAAACAAACATGCAATAAAATCCTAAGAACAAGACAATAAAACAATTTAACCATATGCAATAATGGTGCCAATTCCAACTTAATAATACTAATTCAGCCTTGAATGCCAATGAATACCTAAACAGAATACCTAAAAAGTGCCAAGTAGATGCCACTCAGCCCTTGGGAAGAGGGTATAAGTAGTCATTATAAAAAAAAAACAAGATTTACTTCTGAGCCCTCATTTTTTTATCTCACATATGGGGGAACCTTAACCATCCCCACCTGAGAAAACCATATAGGATGGAGAGTTTCCACCAGGAGGAAGTGAGGTGCTCCCAAATATATCAGGAAATGAAGTCATGACTGAAACCAATTCCTTATCTGGACACCTAATGGAAGGTAATGTAGTGCCTATAATATAGATTTTATCTAGTTGTGGGAACTCTCATCCACTGCATCTTTCACCAGTTGCAGCTTTTCCAAGGTGACTCCATGTAAAGTGTGTCACTACTAGAAGAGTTACTAGTGTCAGGAGCTATTGTTCCAAGTAGGAGCATTATTGGTACACTATCTGAGGCAGGCAAAGTTTTCCTGGGCCATGGAATACGCCTGAGAATCCATCATAGCTGTGAGTCTAGAACTTCCAAGTCTAGATCTGCTCTTTCAGAAGTGACATCCCATCAGAATTAAAACTGGAGCAGCCAGAGCAACAGATGTTTTCTGCACCAGCAACAATGTGCTGATGTTTAGCCTGATTCATTCCATCCAGGCCCCTTTAGCAACCAGTAAAGACCTCCATGGCATATCCAGCCCAGATCACTATGAACTCAGGTACCATCAGTACTGTATATGGATGATATGTCATCCAAAACTCTCCTAGGAGTTTCATGTAGATATTGAAAAAGTAGTGGTAAAGGGACCAAACCCTGTGATACCCCACAGAAGGGTGTCTACAGTTCAGAATATAATTTTTATGTTCCAATAAAAAAGGATTTTACTGATTCTTGGTGAGGTTGATTTCAATATGCTTCACTTCAAATATTAGAAAGTGAACATCATCCAAAACTGGGTAGCATATATGATAGCTGTAGACTCCAAGAAATAGGCTAGTTCTACAATATGACAAACTTCATATATCTGTTGGATGGTTCATGTGGGATATTACTAGAACTACCACAATAGAAACAAAGTACTGCTGGTTTGGGAAAGAACCATTCCTGTATGAGATCCACTAAGAAATAAAAGGCAGATTATTCTGACCCAGTAGACTTATAACACCAAATGCCTTTTGACAGAAAAGGTCAGGAGGAGGCAAATGAAACCATTACCCATATAAAAACTCAAAATTAACTCAGTTGTCCTTTCTTGTGTTCTCCTTTCCATTTTGTTTTGGTGCTGGACCATATCCTAATAGTATCAAATATTTCTGGTGTAAATTGCCCACAGTATAAGCAACTGCACTATCATTCTACTTTACCTACAATCCTTGGAGGTTCAATCATGCCGTTCATTTCCCTCCTACATTATACCCACACCTAGGCTCTATAATTCAACCTAACATTATATTTGCAACTGTTGGGGAAATTGCCTGGTTGAAAAACTTGGTTGTGTCCTGCCATCATAAGTGGGAATATACATTCAGAAAGAATGACACTTTGTTATTTTATTCCAGGAGTCCCTATCTTGGAAATTAGGACACTTGCTGAATAATAGAGGGTTTTTTTTCCCTGTCAGTTAGATGGAGAAAGCAGTGATTGGCTCTTGATCTTCCTTGTCTATTCTTAATGTTCTGAGCACGGTAAAACGTAGATGACCACATGGCTGGTTTCAAAATAGTATGGAGCAGGGGTGTCAAACTGCCGGCCTGTGGGTCAGATGCGTCATGCCGAAACTGCACCCACCCCATTGCCGGCAATGGAAAAACAGTCGCGACATGTCACGTGACGTTGCAAGTTTGACACATCTGGTGTGGAGGGATTATCAAATGATGTCATGTGGAAGTGTCAGAAGTTTTTTTAAAAATGGATGCAACAATGTATAAATCCTTGGAGATGCAATGTGAAATAGAAATTTTAACTTTAATTTTGTTATACTGTAAATTTATATGAGCAGGTCATTTTAATGCTTATGCTGTCAAATTTTATAATGGCACCATTATGGTTCAATAATCCCATCTTTTGATATTATTGAAGATTTTGCTCTGTTTTTAATTACATATCAACATTTGATACATTTGATAATTATGTAAAATAATCTTCCATGTGTATGGTATATTAAGTGACATTTTAAAATATCACAGATTTACTGTTCTAAGAAATCTAACAGAATTATAGACAAACAAGAGAGACAACAATTGGCAATAGGAAAAGTGAAAAACATGCACATTTGATTAGTCTTACCAGGGCCAGATTTCAGACAGAATGGAGTTCCTCAGAAGAACTCCAAGCAATAAAAATATTTGATGCCTACTTTCACATTTGAAAATTTATGGTTCACTCATGTACATGTTTATTCAGAAATCTCAGCAGTGAGATTATCATGCAGGACTATAGCCTTAAAAAACTTAATTTCATTTTTTTATATAACCAGAATAATTATCACAATCAACTCTTGCTTTCATATAATCCAGGATTAATCAAATACAGAATTAATCAAGCACTTTAGTACATTCAGGTTATATGATACAAAGAAGCTTGTTATAATGGTGTATTAGTTTATGCCATGTCTGCAGCATAGACAGAGGAAGAAAAAAATGGTCTGTATTACTCAGCACATGCAAACTATTATAGAAATTTCAAAAGCTCTTGGCTTGGCTTTTTTTATGAAGAAAAAACATTATTTGGCAATGTGAAACTTAAATAGATTATACTTTTTTTATTTGCAAAATCCTTCCAGGTTCAGACATGAGGAAATGAATAAAGACCTGACTGCTTACCATGTATTCCATATTGGATGCAGGTGGGAACACTTTGCCTCTGACCTGATTGTGATAATCCAAAATGGCAATCATATCATTCTGTGAGATATATCGCTTTTTCCTGATTTTGGGGAAGCTTGCAGAATCCAGATGCGTTTTTAAAGCTGCTTCAATATCAGTGTAATTTTTAGTTGACAGGAATAGGTCAGAGGAATTGGGCAACACTAGTGCACTTGCTTCACAGAGAATGGTAATTAAGAGAGCCCCACTAATGGCAGAAATTACTGTCATTTTAGGGTCTGTGGGTATTGTCTCCTTTAAAGCAGGAGACAGAGTATCTGTGGAAGAAAAAAGAGTTAAAGAATATTATTGGGATCAGACTAAATCTTTTCTTCCAGCTGAGTTTCCCAACAGAAACTCAGCACAAATATATGAAGTTTGCAAATAGTTAATTGAAATTCTCTGATGTCTCATGTTGCCTAGCAACAATATACACAAATTGTCCTATAAAATATGTGACCATCTTAGTACAGATCAGAACTTACAAAAAGGATTTAACACAGTATTTTCAAACTGAAAAAAGTTTCGGATCACTGGAAGTAAGTTCTGCACTCAAACTAAAGAGACATAATCAAAAGAAAAATCAGGACAGGAGAAAGAGAGAGGGAAACAACATGGAAACCACTATCTTCCTTTTGCCACTCAACTGATTCAAGGAACATCAGATGTGTAATAATAATAGTAAAAAGACATGCAACAGAAACTGAGCTCAGTGGCTTACCTCTTTGCAGAATCAAAAAGCCTAGTGTTATTATTCTTCCAAGTTAAACAGTTCTCTTCTGTGCTCTAGTGTGAACTTTGGAAAAAAAGAGTGTATCTTATTACCAACTTACAAGGAGAAAGAAAGAGGGTGGGGAAAACTGTAAGCTTTCTAGCTGCTGGCTACACGAACTGCTAACAGCTTTTATATGTTATAGTAAACTACAAAGGGCAACTCTTTTTCCAAGTCTTATGAACCCAATGGGTGGAGTTTTGTACAGAAAACACAGTGATTGGGCTTTTACTGTAGGATATTAGGATATTGTTTCAAACACCCCTTTCACCCTGACTAGAAAAAGGCAAAATGCAACTTTCCCCCCCTCCTTTGGTTTTATTTCCTTTGGCTTTCTTTTTTCATAGTTTAATTTCCTGATGTTAATAATTATGTACATGTGATAAATAATGCACATGTTTTATTTTTCAGCAATCTGGATGGAAAAATACAGGAGGCTTAAAGAAACAGAGACAATTTGTTTCAGGCTGACATTTGGAACACTGCTGTCAATTGTTTGCTTTTATTCAGGCAGCTCTGAAGCAAGAATGGAGGAAATGATACTCTGGAAAAGATGTTTGTCACCTGAATTCATTCCTCTGAATAGCAATAGAAGCTGAATATTCTTGAAAGCAAAAAAGGATCAGGAAAACATCTGGTCTGCATTTGCTGGAAGGGGGGAATGGAATTCTTTAAACAAGGAATTGTTCGGCCACTGATACAAAATGCAAATAGCTGAGGCCATAACTAAATAGCACCATGACAAATGGGCCATCAGCTATAAGGGGCGCCAGTGACCTAGCGCCAGCAATCCCATATCATGGATTTATAGCTTGAAGTTCCTTCAGTATTACAATAGACAGAAGCAGTGCCAGGTCTAGAAGCCTAAGGTAATCTTTACAATCAGCCCCATCAAACATTCCAAAGGGGAATATGTTGTGAAGTCAATAGAATGATGCTTCTCCCAGGAGAATTGAAGCAACAATTGGAGAGAGGCATGGATGAAAAGGCACTGGTGATTGCACAGAGAAATGCTTACCCACTTTGCTTGGTCATCAGCCCAACCATGCTTTAAACCAGAGAGCATTTTCAAAATGCTTACTGTGTGTAAGAGTGGTAGCTCAGACAGTTTACAGAGTGAAAATATTGGCACTTCATCTTTGAGACATATAAGCAGCCAACAATAGGTCATGTATCTCACTCTTTGCTCTATAACACTGAATGGCTAGTTAGAAGTAGGAACTTCTTGTGGTGTGTAATGGGGGGGAGGAAATGAAAGAAATATCTATTTAGTTTCTTTGTGGGAATAATTTTATGAATCAACCAAGTCATTAAACAAGTGGGAATGAAAGTTTAATTATTGCTTATAGCAGAAATCCACTTTGCTCACTTCACTGGTATTACCTTCAAAATTGCTTCTCACCTTCTATACCAGCATTGTAGAACAACAGAATAACAGAGTTGGAAGGGACCTTGGAGGTCTTCTAGTCCAACTCTCTGCTCAAACAGAAAACCCTATACCATTTCAGACAAATGGTTGTTCAATCTTTTCTTAAAAACTTCCAGTGTTGGAGCATTCACAGCTTCTGGAGGCAGGTTGTTCCACTGATTAATTGTTCTGTCAGGAAATTTCTCCTTAGTTATAGGTTGCTTCTTTCTTTGGTTAGTTTCTATCCATTGCTTCTTGTCCTGCCTTCAGGTGCTTTGGAGAATAGCTTGACTCCCTCTTCTTTGTGGCAGCCCCTGAGATATTGGAACACTGCTATGATGTTACCTCTAGTCGTTCCTTTCATTAAACTAGACATATCCAATTCCTGCAACTGTTCTTCATATGTTTTAGCCTCCAGTCTCCTAATCACCTTTGTTGCTCTTCTCTGCACTCTTTCTAAAGCTGCAACATTTGTTATATAGTTGTGAAAAAAACTGAATGCAATATTCCAAGGGTGCTCTTATCAATAGTACTAACACTTCACATGTTAATGCAGCCTAAGACTGTGTTGGCTTTTTTTGGCAGCTGCAGCACACTGCTGGCTCACATTTAAGTGATTGTCCACTAAGACTCCAAGATCCCTCTAGCAGTTACTACTGTTGAACCAGGTATCACCTAAACAAGGCCTAAGACAGAGCCTTGGGGGATCCCACTGCATACTTTCCTCCATGTACATGCAGTTCCATTAAGGACTACACATTGAGTGTGGTTGGTCAGCCAGTTATGAATCCATCTGGTATCAACTAATAACAAACTGAGTGATATGTTTTTTCAGATAATAATGGGGGACAACATAAGTAAGGTAAGAAAATTAAACAATGGCCTCCCACAAAACTCTATAATGGCACCTACACTATTCAACATATATATTAAATATGCCAGTGACAAAGGGATGCAAATTTGGATACACTGATTATTTGGCCATAGCAGTACAAGAAAAACACATGGAAGTATCTGACAGCCTCCTATCCAAAGATCTTAAAACCTTGGGAACATTCTTCACTCACTGAAGGGTCACTCCTAGCACAAGCAAACTTCTTGCTTCCACCTTAATAACAAACTAGCATATGAAGCCCCAAAGGTCTACAGCAGTGGTTCCCAACCTTTTTAATGCCGTGACCCCAACCTGTCATAAGTCAAGGACTACCCAATCGGTTGTAAGTCGAGGACTACCCAACTGGTCGTAAGTCGAGGACTTTCCCTGCCAGGGAGCGCCACGCATGCTTGGTGCCGCCCCCTGCGCCGGCCAAGGTGTAGCTGGCAAGCGGCAGAGACAGCGCAGGCCGACCACCGGCTGGGCCACCAGCTGGCCCAGCCCAAGGGAGGTAAGGCACCCGCCAGGCCCCACGTGCACCAGCAACCCTCCCTGCATCCACCGGCCTCCCACCTCCCACCTCTGGCCCTCTTTTACTTACATTTTTAGTAGCTGCTCAGCAGGGAGGGGTGGAAACTTCCAGACAGCTCGCCTTCGCTGTAGACAACTTGCAGTATCGTTTTCAGAATGGGACTTTTGGCAGGCTCAACAGGGCAGAGACAGCCTGGACAATTCCTATTGGCTTTTGAAAGCCAATAGAATAAAAGGGAGTAGCACAGCTAAGGAAAAGGGGGAAAAATGGCGGACTGCGTTGTTTGGCGACCCCCGTGAAATGGTCGTTCGACCCCAAATGGGGTTGCGACCCACAGGTTGAGGACCATTGGTCTACAGTATTTAAACAACAACCTACTTCCCTATAATCACCATCCAAAGTACTTTGGAGTAACATTGGACCGGACTCTCTCCTATAAGATATACTTAGAGAATACAGTGGCAAAAATCAATACTAGGAACAACATACTCCAGAAATTATGCGGAACTAAATGAGGCTATCAGCACTAGAGTTTTTCTACTCTGCAGCAGAATATTGTACAAATGATGCTGCACTGCAATGGTTAGATGGCCTAGACATTGGTATTTGAACACAAATCTTTTTAACATTTATATTTTATTGTATTTTACTAATCTAGGTGAAATGTTAATGTATATTGGTAGTCCATGTATATATATGCCATGTGCTAAATAATATCACATCCTCAAATTTTAGTCCAAGTTATTTTTACCTCTTATCTATAGATATACCCCACCAAATATTGCAGATTTAATTTATAAAGATAAATGTATGTCAGGCATGAAAGACCAGGAGCATACATGAAGTTCAAATTTATTACTTTATTATTTATTATTGTGATTTATTACTATTCATGCCTATGCACAGGAATTTGCCAACTAATTATTAGCACTAGTTCAGTGCTTGATAAGGGTTAGCAGAATTTAAGAGGGGTTGGACTCCACCCCCAGGTTCTGCCACTCCTTCTCCTACCATGCACATCTCATACTTGATTTTAGATTGTGACTCTAAAATTTCCTGCACACATTGTATCTCACTAAGATAATTTATTTACATGTTGTCCACATACAAAAAGGTATGTAAAATTGTGTGAAGTTGCAATGATGAACTGCATATTTGAAATAGCCCTTCAAATTAGCACCAAATAATATAATCTTCTATTCACATCTGACTTCCAGAACTTGAATAGTTTAAAATATACAGGATTATAGACTCAATAGTATGCTATATATCCAAATACCTGTTTTCAATATGAACAGGAGGCAATTTTTGTCATTGACTAAAATATAATGAATATTATTATATTATATAAAATGAGAAATAATTATGAGGATTGAGATTCACACTCAGAAGTATATTTGTTTTATGAGTATCATAAGGAGTTTACACAAACTATTAATGGGAATAATGAAGCTTCTTATATTTTATAAAAGTATATGTACCATAGAATTATTAGATCTGATGCAGTATATATCAGCTTTCCTTAGCCTGAAACCTCCAAATTATATAGTCCTACAGCTACCACAGTCTGACATATCTGGTAGATACCAAAGAAAGAACAGTATTCACAGTATATTGGGCAGATTTGCTCATCAAGCAATGTACGTAACTCTCTAGACATCCTTCCAAATTTTACATATGCCAAGTAAGATTTACTTCACCAGATCATAATTCACCCTGGCAACTGGACAATCTAAAATTGCGTGACGCATATAGCAGCCAAGGGGAAAAAAAGTCACATTTTTTTTACTTACTTTGACTGGAAATGCTCCTTGTTATGTTACACTGAAATGTTTCTAAACAAGTCATTTAAACTAACAATGGAACTGAGAGAAATCAATGTCATCAAAATCATGTGAATTCCAGCAGTAAAAATGTTGACTTTAGCTCTTCTCAGTTTCTCATAATCCATGTATTTGGGTCACTGTTTTCTCTATTTCAAAAGAAAAATTCCAATAACAGTCATAGAGTACTGATTGTTTTACATCTATATATGTGGAAAAATTCTACAACAAATTCAAAATGAATGTACTGTACAAAACTGTCTTAATACAGAACTGGTGGTTTTAAAGGCATCATCTCCAAATTTTCTACAGTTATTATGTCTATAAAGTCAAATGTTAAAGTATCCTGGCAAGGAGAAACATATTGGAGTGTTATATATTCATTGTTAATATAGAGACTAGTATCAAGAGCAGGAAATCAGAAGTCCAGGAAGTTCAAATGAATATAAAGATTTATTGCAAGCTCATGCTCTCTACAAAAATCTGAACTACTAATGGTCAAAACAAATTGGCAGTAGATAAGAATTCAAGGTGGGATTTAGATCTCTTGTGGACACAAAAGGACCCAAGACTGATGGCACATTTAACCTCTCCCTCAGGCTCAGCCTGGTTAC